GAAAACAGGTTCACCTACGAAGCCAGATCAAGTTGCTCAGCCTTCTATACAGGCAAGTCTTGAAAACCTCCAAGGATGGAGACTGCACAGCCAGCACGGCTTCACCAAGGGCAAGTCCTGCCTGACCAACCTAGTGGCCTTCTATGATGAAGTGACTACATCAGTGGGGAGGGAAAAGCTATCAGTGTCATCTACCTGGACCTCTCTAAGGTCCTGGACACAGTCCCCCACAACATCCTTCTCTCTAAATTGGAGAGAGATGGATTTGGTGGAGGGACTGTTGAGTGGATGAGGAATTGGTTGGATGGTCACATCCAGAGGGTAGTGGTCAACAGCTCAATGTCCAGATGGAGATCAGTGAGGAGCAGTGTCCCTCAGAGGTTCGTACTGGGACCACTACTGTTTAATATCTTCATCAATGAGGTAGACAGTGGGATCAAGTGCACCCTCGGCAAGTTTGCAGATGATGCCAAGCTGAGTGGTGCGGTTGACACACTTGAGTGGTGCCATCCAGAGGGACCTGGACAAGGTCGAGGAATGGGCCCGTGAGGCTCAACAAGGTCAAGTACAGGGTCCTGCCCCTGGGCTGGGGCAACCCCTGCTACCAGTACATGCTGGGGGATGAAGGGATGGAGAGCAGCTCTGCCCAGAAGGACTTTGGGGTACTGATGGACAAAAAGTTGGACATGAGCCGGCAATGGGTGCTTGCAGCCCAAAAGGCCAAGCATGTTCTGGGCTGCATTCAAAGCAGCGTGGCCAGCAGGTCGAGGGAGGGCATTCTGCCCCTCTGCTCTGCTGAGACCCCACCTGGAGTCCTGCATCCAGCTCTGGAGCCCTCAGCACAGGAGAGACATGGACCTCTTGGAGCGGGTCCAGACGAAGGCCACAACAATGATCAGAGGGATGAAACACCTCTGCTATGCAGACAAGCTGAGAGAGTTGGTGTTGTTCAGCCTCGCGAAGAGAAGGCTCTGGAGAAACCTTATAGCAGCCTTCCAGTACTGAAAGGGGGCCTATAAGAAAAATGAGGACAGACTTTTTAGCAGGGCCTGTTGCGATAGGACCAGGGGTAATGGTTTTAAACTAGAAGACAGTAGATTTAGACTAGATGTAAGGAAGAAATGTTTCACACAGAGTGGTGAAACTCTGGCCCACGTTGCCCAGAGGTGGATGCCCCATCCCTTGAAGTGTTCAAGGTGAGGCTGGATGAGGCTCTGAGCAACCTGATCTAATTGAAGCTGTCCCTGCTCATTGCAGGGGAGTTGGACTAGATGACCTTTAAAGGTCCCTTCCAAACCAAACTATTCTATGAATCTGTGATCCAAGAGTTTTTAATCAAGTGATCCTGAAAGGCAGCTCAAAAAGATTATATTCTTCATAAATGGAACTGCTTGCTCTAGTGGGTTTGAGGACATTAGTCATTAGAATGTATACAGCACCACCACCTTTTCTCTCTTTCTTCACTCCCCGCCAGGCTCAGAGTTTGCAAGTGATCCACTAGAGACGGAACATCGTATTTCAATATACAGAGGTTATAATGCTATTAACGCAGTGAGGAAAGAGATATTTTAGAACAGTCAGTGTCATCCTGCACATTTTTCAATCCATTAAACTGATCTTTCCAGATAGTTCAGGCAGATGGACTGATTGTTTTTGGCACTTACTGCAAAGACCTCAGACAATTGAAGGAACCTTCACAGAAGGCCAGTTTAGCACACAAGTGTCTTACTAAATCATCCTTTAAATTAACTCAAACCTCGCGGTGTAACTGAAAATGAGTAGAAGCAGACATTTATCTTCTACACTGCAAACAACTTCTTAACACCTACTTTAAATGGCATCGCCACATCTAGAAAAGGTGCAAAAAAAGAAACAATAATGCTCAGCATTACAGAACTACTGCCTGTTCAAAAGGCTATAGATGGACAGTGAAGAAAAGGGAGTGAAAGGGTAGGCAATAATATACAGAGAGGAAGAATAGCAATATAGAGTAATGTACTATTTGCACAGAAAACTTTTTTTTTTTCCCCACAGACAAGGACTAAAAGGTGGTAAATGAAGCTAGCTCACAGGTTAGAAAAGTCGAAGGCCAACTTTTCTGTATTTCAATTCAACTGCTTTTACAGGAAGGCAAAAGTTTTTTAAAAAATCAGTTAAATTCAAAGAAGATTGATAATAAAGTTCTTTGGGACGTGATTTAGTAGGCATGATGGTGTTGGGTTGATGGCTGGACTTCATGATCTTACAGGTCTTTTGCAACCTTAGAATACAATCATAGAATCATTAAGTTTGACAGACAGCAATGGATCTGTAAACCACACATGGCCTGGGAAGCTCCCACCCAGTTTAAGCCAGTGTACACTGGAGGAGTTATCATCATTGTACACATACTCATTCCCTCAACATGGCCTGGCCATTGCTTGTTACAGGCTATGAAACAAGAAAGGGATTTGATCCGACCTTTTAACACTGTTCTCACTGTTATTCCAAATACCTAACAGTCTCAAAACACTTTAGATGGAAGACCAAAGACCACTATTTACAGGCACAAGTCATTCCAATGCTCTTGAACAGCGCTAGTTTTCTCACAAATACAACGCCAAGTATTTTTACTTTATCTGTCTTCCTACAAGTCTTTTATAATTTTATAAACATCCCAACTCAATGAAATATTTATTTCATTAAAGTTGCTAAGCAGAGTGAAAAAAGGTCTTACAAGGTAGGGAATTATTTTTGTCTGACAGCAATCATACTAGAATAGCACTTCAAGCTATGAATAGCTCAAGACAAAATTTTAAATCTACATTGATTCAAAGATCAAAAGAATGTTTACAACTGTCATGTTTATTTATACAAACACAGCACAAAAACATTTTTCATCACAGCTGACCTACAAATTTTCAGGTAAAAACTAGTTTTGCTAGACAAGCATAAAGGGAATTGAAAGTAGTTTATAACAGAAACTTCATACCATATGAACTCTGGAAGTTCACACTTTCCACCCAGGTATGGTAAAGCACAGAGCTAAGACTAAGATCCACTTTCTGATTAAACAGTAAGTTATGCAAAAATCCATGTTCATAACACCATTTCTTTCCAACCACCTCCTGCAGCATTTATTCATCCTGCAGCATTTATTCACTTTCTCCTCTTCCCATGTCCCTTGCCCAATTTCCAGCTCACACAGGTCTTCCTGTTTAGTCATCACCGGAAACTCTCATTTATTAAATAGTCCATCTCCTAGTGACGGTCCTGTGCTACCCAACCTACCTTATCTTCAACTCCCTGCTTTTACCTTGCCTGTTTAGCTGCACTTCCCCATCACTGAAGTCTTGACACCCTCTCTTCTACAGTGGCCCTCTTCGCCACCTCATCTTGCTGTGACATGTAATACACTAACAGATCACTTCCAGGTTAATAAAGATCTGAATTTCTGTGACACTCATGGATTTCCTTAGATATGTTCACAGAGATGTTGCAGAAAAGATAGCAAAGTATTTACACTATATATGCTGAGCAGCCATCTTATTCCTGTCTCTGTTCTGAGAGGGGCACAAAGCCACATGATTATATTAGCAGATGTACAAACAAGTAAACTGTATCAATAGCTCTTGCAGCTTCTTCCTACTTAATGAAGGAATACCCCAGCTCAGATCTGCATGCAAAACAGCGTAAACATATACTAGGACCCAGTGTCTACCGATCCTGGCATGCAAAGCGCAACAGAAGGCAGGGCTCATATGCATATCCCACAGGGAAGGAAGGGACAGAGAAGAGACCCTGAGTAGAAACATCCTACCAGTGCCCCTTAAAATTTTAACATACATCATTCCCTAACATCCCAGTTTGCTGACAAGATCTCTGACTCTGAAGCTTCACAAAGCTTAAAGTGGAATAGGGTCCTAAATGCAAGAAAGCATTTATAAGGATTGCTAGGAATTATAAGAACTCCTCCATAGACAAAGAAAAAATATTGTTCTCCAGTTCAAACATTATAAACTCAGCTGTGAAAAACCTAACAGGATCATCTGTTTATGCTGTAACAAAGCCATAGCTAAATGGACCAACTATACACAGAGAGAAAACATGTACATACTAGCTTTGAAAACACCACAGTATTCTAAATTTGATGGCTGTTTAGATATTTTGTTGAAGCACTCAGAACTAAGTATTACAGAGTAAGAGCTGTTGCAGAAGTATTTCTACAGAACATATTGACTTCCAATTTGTCAAGACACTCAAAATATGGACATTAAATGTCGAGAAATTTGTAAGTTAATCAAGAGATTTTATAATTCAAAAATTATTCATAAAAATGTTTTTTAAAAGAAGACAGATAAGACAACACTTTCTCCAACTCTTCATACAAAAAAGGCAATGCAGTAATAACCTCTATAATTTACTGAGTGTGTAAAAAAATCAGAATGAGAAGACTCTAACAAGGTCAGACCGCCGGAAGGTATTTGGCAAAGAGGAGTGCCAAGTATGTTAGCAATTTCTACACAATTGATGCTGCTTTAAGAATTTGCACAAAACTCCAAAAACATTTTGCTTAAGCTTGAAACAGCTACCCTTCACAGAGCAGCCATTCAGTTACCTCATATATTGCTATACTCTACTCAGCTTCCAGGAAACTGTCACACTAGCTCTATTTAAAGGAAAAAAAGACCCCACCCAAACAAACCTCAGTATTTTCTGTTTCCCAAGTACAAATTAAAGCCACTCAGTAGTAGCAGTGCAAAAAATACAATTAAATTGCAGATGCCATTTTATATTTATAGACACTACCTCAAAATATTGATGGAGAAATTATCTTCAACAGATTACAGAGTGAAGCTTAAAAAAAAATACATACTTTCTTCATAAAATTGAGTACAAAAGACTCACATGAGACCAGGTAATTTTTTACTTAGAATACTTTGTTTTATGTGTAAGAGTTACTAAAAATCTCGTCCCACTACAGAAATATACATTCTCTCTCCAATTCTTTCGTTAACTCAGAATCCAAAAGCAGCAGTTCCACTATACCTGTCACAGACCAGAAAAGAATGGGGGAGAGTGAAAAATCTCTCAAATTCAGAAGACAGAAAAGAAGCACTTGCAGAGTTGCAAACCTGAGGCTTCAAGATGCAAACATGGTAATAAAAAGATTTTTTTAACTTACTTGCTTAAGGCTGCCTGTTTACAGAATATTATACAGTGCAACATAGACTGTAGCTGCTAATGCATTCCCTGATCTAACCCAGTGAGTCTCAAGATTACTTTGCAGGCCACAGAGCCATGGCAAATAGAAATCAGCTTTAGAAGTCTTTTAAAAAAAGCATCATAAAGCCAGGTAATAGTCTGTGAAGATAACTGAGGGTTACACAACAGCCTGCTCACCAAAAATAAAGTATTTCTTTGTTTTAGCAACAACAGGCTCCTCAGGCCCATCCTCAGATCCACATAGACTCATATTCAGTATTAGAGGTCAGCGTTAGGTCAAAGTTTTGGCCCCAACTCAGACAATTTACATTTATGAAGAACCACAACAGCAGAGCTTCCCATGAATAATGCATGTAACATTGCCCAGTCTATACTTCTCTTACTAAAAGCCTTTTCATTTTATATTCAGACTTAATAGTACTTCCTAAACCTTCACCTAGCACGCTCTACTTAAAAGCAATCATAATAAAACTAAATACACCAAACAATTAAAGGGGAACCTTCTGAAGGAGAAACATGACTACAGCTACCCAAACCCCTAAATACCTGTTCTCGGGAAATTCCAAACTCTTCTTTTATGAAAGACACAAACTAAAAGACTTCAAAATTTAGTAAAGAATGCAATTTCTGAAGCTTCACGTAGAGACAGCAGAAACAAAATGTTGTTTTAACCTTTTCCAGCCATGGCAGCCCCATCAGAAGGGCAGCTGGCCAACTTGGAAAGTAACAGAAAGCCAAGATAAACAACAATTACAGCTCCTAAGGAGTTTGGAAGTCCTAAGTCCGGGGCAATACATGTGGCAGTCTATCAAGAAGACACGAACCCCTAACTTCAGGGCTTCTCAGCTAGGAGGAACAATCTAGGTCAAAGAAAGCTTTCACTTTAGCAAACAGTAAATTCTTAATTTCCAATAGAAGAATATTTCAGAGGAAAAATTTCAATCAGCTGTACTTGGATGCTGAAGGATAAAGATAGAAAAATTAGACTTCCTGAACTCTGCTGGAATTTGCTACTACTTTTATTACTTCTGCATGGATGGCATTCAAATACTGTGTTGGTGGTAGCAATATAAAACACCCCTATTGTTTCATTTATACACAAACAAGCACCTAGCTTTCCCGAATAAGGGTGTCTTCCTTGCCATCTATTCTTTCTGATATGCAGCAGACTGTTTTTATGGTATGTTCTCAGAATTCACAGATTACAAACATACTGGAAAACATTCTGTGCTTGCTGGCATCATGAGAAGTTACTGAGGGCAATTATCTCCAAGTCCAATTACTCACCCTCACCAAATCTACATGCCAGCATAATAAAAATACAGTTTGGAGACGTGTAAAGCATACAAAGTTCAGTTCTACTTTTAAGATGTGAATAAGAACAAACACTTGACAACAAATGTATAGCCTGAGATGGACTAAGACAACTGTGGGACTTGGAAAAAAAAACCCAACAACTTTGAAAGTCAGTTTAGGTCATTTGTAGGACTCTGCAAAGCAAACTGAGTAGTCTGCTGGTATAAATTTTATGTGTGAGACTGATTTTCATATTGCATAGAACAATTAGCAAAGAGCCTACTTCTAACATTTACACAGCATGCATTATGAAGTGAGAATACCCACATGCTCACTTTGAGTAGCTACCTCAATACTGAGAGACTCATGCTTTGTAGACAGATAAATTCAGGTATCTTTTCTTAGAGGTACTTAAAGTGGCAGAGAGAAACACTGTGGGAGGCAGGAAAAGAAACTGCGAACAAAATGACATCCCAGTGTTTAATTTCTTTCCCAGCATAAGGTCTCTTTCAAACCACTGCCTTCTGCACATCACTTCAATTATTTTTCCTTCCAGAGATTCATTTTAGTTTTACTGACCTTTCAAATCAATGTCACAGCATCTCATTTCAACCTCACATAAAACCATGTAACTTGGGAAGATATGTCCTCCCCCATGTCTTCATTTTTAGCCATTTGAGGGCTAAACCCAAGAATGCAGTCCAACAAAGCCTGAACTGCTGCTGAAGACAAAAGTCTGTATTTTTTCATCCCATCAAAGCACTTGCTGTTCTCTCTGAGCCCACAGTAGCATTTGCATCATCAGCTAGATGCAAAAATGGTTTGAGTGAAAGCTAATGGTCAGTCTCCTCACCTGATTCACTGAGCAAGTGAACAAGTTTCAGAGGCAGCACAGGAAAGGGAAGGAACATGGTTGAAATAGACAGCAAAAATGCAAAAGCATCCCCTTCAGTGACAACCCACACTGTAATGGACAAACTGGTTTCAAAACCTGAATAGTTTTCACAACCTGAATAGTTATGGCTAGAACTATTCACTTAGTCCTTGGGATAAAGAGCTCAAAAAAAAAAAACATACATAATCGGGCTACCTATACTGAAGCCATTCATGAGCACAATCTGCTCAAAAATATGAAATGTCTAAGGCATCATGCACTACATTCATCACTACCTTCAGCGCCCCTTTTTGAACCCTGATAATCATAAATTTGACATTACATTACTCAAATCTGACAGGATGGCAATAGCATCCCTTTCTCATTCCATGAAGCAATAGCAAATTCTTTCAGAAGTGCTGACTAGCCTATTACTAACCAGCAAAAAGCACAGACAGAACAGAATAATCCGAAATCATCATCTGTCACCCATTTGAAACCTACTGCAAAAGACAGGCAGAGACAATTTATCTTGAAATATGGGCTGTGGCGAGTTGTATTTCATAATGGACTTGATCACAATTGCAACAGAACTCTCACCTTTTTAGTCAAGGAATTCCTCTCTGAAGTAATTACTTTGGGATCTACAGAAAGATAGCTGGGGAGGGCAGAGGGAAAAGGAGTCACAGCATACACTGTACAGGTATACTGCAGCAGGTTGAAAGTTAATAGGAACTTTGCTCTGCCAGCCTTTTCATGTCAAGGATGGCTGTCTCCTTCCCCTTGTATCTTATCTCCAACACAGGAATCTGTTGCAAGCAGCTTTACAA